ATTCGCAACCACTGGCATGCCTGGGGATTCTGCCTGCTGCAGAATTAAAGGCAGAAGCCTTTAATCCTCTAGCTTACAATAGCTCTTTGAATCTCTCCCAAAAATAAACACCTTTGTCAAAGGAGGGGGTGCCCTAGGGACAGAATTCATCCTAGCCTTAGCTAAGTACAATGCAAGTCCTGTTTCATAGACAAATTGATTCGCCTGCTGAGAAGCCTTATCTTGTTCCTTCCTAGCGAATAAGGTGACTAAGGGATTAAGAAGTCATTTTGTCACAGCTGAACGGCGCAAAGCACTTTGAACTGAAACAAGAAAAGTTCTATTTCATTAATAAACTGTGAAGAGTTGGGTAGGGGGGAGTGGTAGAAAAGTCCTTTGGTTTATACGCTATTTTATAAAAATAATTTATTTACTAGGTCATTTCTCCACTGCGGTTTATTACAAGATGAACTTACAGTTTATTTAAAAGGTATTTTTATTGTTTGCTTTTACATAGCCAATCATGTGTAAAGTTTTCATGAAGACTTTAAAATCAGTATGCTTTGACTGAATAAAGAACAAAGATATTATTTTTGTTGCCATATTAGACACTCATCAAGTCCCATATTATAAACACATTCCAAAGGAAAAATTATTAAGCCTTGCTAAATTTGCTTTGCAGCACTTCCACCGGCCCCTGGAAACCCTTACCTTGGGCTGGAGCACAAACCACTCGTCACCCTGATTTTCGAAGTTCCAGGAATCGAATGGAATTTCCACCTCCCCAAGAAAGCTGTTGCGTCCGAATCTGTCATAGTGCCAGACAGAAAGCTGCAGGGTCCTGGTTTCTAGCTGTGTGTGACTGATGACATACTACCCACAGAAAAAGAGAAAAAGAAACTCTCAGAATAAGCAGAAAGAATAGTTTCCACGGAGCCTTTTATAGCTCTAGCTGAATTTCACCAAGCCCACAGCAGCTAACAAATGAAGCATGAAAAAGAGATTTGTTTTCTTTGCAAACAAGATTGATCAAGCCAGAAAGCTCATGATGTTAATGTTAAATCTAACTCTACATCCAGCTCTGCATTAATGTAATTAATGTTACTATCGTGACTGTGTTTTTTCTGCATTATTTACTGGGTATTTATGACTGTAAAGTAAATTATGATGCTTAAAATTCTGATCCTGTTAGTTCCTTATAAGTTTACATAAAAGAAGCAGATCAACATCAAAGTTTAGCTCGTAAGAAGAAACCCCACTGGTTCTTTCATCCCTAAAGAGAGTCTGCTGTACACTGC